TAATTCTATGAGTTTGACTGTTTTAGATTCCATACATCAGTAAGTTCATGCAGTGTTTGTCTTTCTGGTTTACTTCACTTAGGACAATATCCTCCAAGTTGCAGCTTGCATTGTATTCTATTGAGCAATGCTGTTCTAAAACCAAGACCTAAAATGTTCATTCTTTTTTCTGTAAGCAGTTAGAAGCTTTAAGACAGAACACAAAAGACTGAGTAACACAATTAGAAATGTGTTTCCATATGATGATCCTTGATTTGAAAGGAGGGACTAGAGGCAAAAAGAAGAAAAATGAATAGATGATTTTTATGAAGCAAGTAGAACTGGCCTGCAGGGCAGCAGATCAGAAGTTACGTGTATTAGATGCAGGAAAGGGTAGAAGTCAAGCACAATGTCAAACGACTGAATATAGTAATTGCAATAGATGTGCGAGTATTAACAGAAGAAACAAAGTGGAATAGGTTTAAAGATGAAAAGATGGGTTCAGCTTGGGACATAGGAGTCTTAGGTTTTCATGAGACATATAGGTAGAATAGCCAAGTAGACACAAAAGTGTGTGAACTTGAGAGACTTCCAAAGGTCCATAAGGAAGACAAAATCACAAACAACTTTTTTAATTATGTATTTGTACTCAAAGAATGGAGCCTTCTTGCTCCTCTTAGATATGGAGGCCACAGTTCCATGTACTATCAAAAACACTTTAGCAAATTGTCAAATGTCATCAGGCAATATTATCTGTAAAAAGCAGTTCAAGCTGTGAAAAATCATAAAATAAGAAAAAAACTCTTTCATTCAGCAGTTATTTTTATGGAGCTCTACTAAAGATCAGTCACTGCATAGCACGCTGGAAAAATGCAGATGAATAAGGAATCACTCTAACAGCTAAGTATTCAGGCAGAGTTTTTTCTCAGGTAAAATAAAATGTTAAGTAATAATGAAGCCAGTATGAAAATGTGTCAACTCTTTAAACTATAGAGATTACAACCTTTAATAGAAACAATAGTTGAAGCAGAATGGAGGAGACACCGAGTTTGAAAACTGCAAACTGAGTTTCCATTACGTGACTGCTTTTAGTATGATACTAGACTTAACTTTTTAGCATTCTGTATCATTAAGCTTCTATTGCTTTTAATATTTATGTCCAAGAATTGTTTCTTTCCAACAGAGACAATCTGTTTTGTGTTTTATGTGTTAAATACTGTCTCTAATTTAAAAATATTATATCATTCCTATATTCAAAGACACCTACAGGAGCCTGCTTACAGCAGAGAAGGCTACATATTTCAGAATAGAAAACATCGTATCCATTTACTAGTGAGACAAATGAAAACACCACATCAAATTCTCAAAGCTTTCACTGGAACCATATCATGGTTCAGATGCAATTGCATGGAGATTGGCTGGTGGCACTCTAAGAATCAGAAACACAACATTTTGATATATTTAGGGCCAGGGGAAACAAGGACTTTGAAGTCTTGGCAAATCATTGTCTTCTCATGAAGTCTGACCCCTGTGTTAAAGGAATAGGGAACACAAACATTTTTCAAACAGAGAGATAGCAGGAAGTGTCCACAGTTTAAGAAATTAAATGGTTATAAACAGAAACTGTAATCCTGTCTGACAGAGTATGGAAGTACTGCACAGTATTAAGCTTGAGCTCTGTCATTTCCACTGACCAAGGGCAACCACATAGTTTTTCCAGATCTCAATTGGTGGTTCTGGCAAAACCCAATGTAAAATTCTTTACCCAAAAAAAGCCACAAGTCTGACAGTGTAAGTTTGATGACTTCTTACTATTGGTAAACTCTGCAGTCACTTTAACACACTTTTCTTTCAAAATTAGGACAGAGAAGATAGACATGGATCCAAGATCCTTCTTTGTTGGAATCCTGACAGTATGTTCCAGGATACAGCTATGGCATTAGAGAGAGAGTTGATAGCCCATTTTTAAGCTTGTAATTAACCTTAAAAGAAGAAAATATGATTAAATGAACATTTTAATAACAGAATAAATGATCATACAGTGACATCAGACAAAAGTGTTCTGTCTCAGAGGAAAATTATTACTGTAATTTCCATTTTAATTTGAGCTGAACTATTATTTAGTAAAACTGTAGATTCTTAAAGACTATTAATTCAGATCTTCTAAGTTGTTGGTGAAATACCATATAACTTTTATTTTTTTCCTCTTCATTTCTTCAGAAGCCCTGACAGTAGAATGAGCATAGAAAAATGACATTTTTTGTGACTCTTATAATGATTATAGAAACTCAAGCCATTGATCTTATCCTCATTCCACATTTAAATGATGGCATGGTTAATGCCCCTTTCCCATTGTGACATTTTTTTTAAGTTTAATGTCTCTACAATTAGAAAGCCATCTTGTTACATTAAACGAAGACATTAATTTAAAAAGAGATAAAAATGTCTATGTCCCATGCTCCTTAAATAACAGCTAGGAGAATGTCACACCAGAAGTATAGGGAATTTTAAAATTTTGATTTAAAAATAGCTTTTAGGGGCAGGAACACTAGCTAAACTTTACTGAATTTTTACTAAATTCCAGAACAATGAAGTGCTGTGCATAGTTAATACCATTTAATTCTCACTCTGCCTTATGAGATTCTAAAACAGAAATGCCAGAGCTTTTCATGGCTAGAAATCTAAAGACCTAGGCAAACTCTAGTCCTCTGACCACATGCAGCTCACATTCCCACCCCATACTTCACCCTCTCCCCTCCAGGTTGCTGCCCCTCTGCCTTATGAAATTTGCTTGACTGGTTGCTATAGCATAGACCACTATCACCCTGACGCCTCCGCAGAAGAGAGAACACAAACACAAGGGTCAATAATAAACATGTACCTTTGTGACTCAAATAAAGAGAAATGTACACTTTAAATGTGTTCCTAAATCCTCCCTAACTCATTTTATGAGACCAATACCATCCTGATACCAAAACATGGCAGAGACACAACTAAAAAGAATTTTTTCAGGCAAATACCCATAATGAACACTGAGGCAACATCCTCAATAAAATACTGGCAAACGGAATACAATAGCCTATCAAAAAGCTAACCCATCACCATCAAGTAAGCTTTATCCCTGGGAGGCAAGGCTGGTTCACCATCTACAAATCCATAAATGTCATCAATCACACAAACAGAACCAAAGACAAAAACCACATGATTATCTCAATAGATGCAGAGAAGGCCTTCAACAAAATTCAACAGCCCTTTATGCTAAAAACTGTTAATAAACTAGGTATTGGTGAAACGTATCTCAAAATAACAAAAGCTATTTATGACAAACCCACAGCCAATATCATACTGAATGGGCAAAAACTGGAAGCATTCCTTTTGAAAACTGGCACTAGACAAGGATGCCCTCTCTCACCATTCCTGTTCAACATAGTACTGGAAGTTCTGGCCAAGGCAATCAGGCAAGAAAAAGAAATAAATGGTATTCAATTAGGAAAAGAGGAAGTAAAATAGTCTTTATTTGCAGATGACATGACTGTATATTTAGAAGACTATCATCTTAGCTCAAAATCTTCTTAAGCTGATAAACAACTTCAGCAAAGTCTCAGAAAAGAAAATCGATGTGCAAAAATCACAAACATTCCTATACACCAATAATAGGCAAATAGCCAAATCATGAGTGAACTCCCATTCATAATTGCTACAAAGAGAATAAAGTACCTAGGAATACAACTAACAAGGAATGTGAAGGACTTCTTCAAGGAGAACTACAAACCACTGCTCAAGGAAATCAAGGAGGACACAAACAGATGGAGAAACATTCCATGCTTATGGTGAGGAACAAGCAATATCATTTAAATGCCCATATTGCAAAACGTAATTTATAGATTCAATGCTATCCCCATCAAGCTACCATTGACTTTCTTTACAGAATTGGAAAAAAACACCTTAAACTACATATGAAACCAAAAAAGAGCCCACATGGCCAAGACAATCCTAAGCAAAAAAACAAAGCTGGAGGCATCACACTACCTGATGTCAAACTACTACAAAGCTATAGTAATCAAACAGCATGATACTAGTACCAAAACAGATATATAGACCAATGGAACTAGAGGCCTCAAAAACAACGCCAGACATCTACAACCATCTGATCTTTGACAAATCTGACAAAAACAAGCAATGGGGAAAGGATTCCCTGTTCAATAAAAGGTGTTGGGAAAACTGGCTAGCCATGTGCAGAAAGCTGAAACTGGATCCTTTGCAAGCTTACACCTTATATAAAAATTAAATCCAGATGGATTAAAGATTTAAACATAAGACCTAACACAACAAAAACCCTACAAGAAAACCTAGGCAATACCATTCAGGATATAGGCATAGGTAAGGACTTCATGACTAATATACCAAAAGCAATGGGAACAAAAGCCAAAATAGACAAATGAAATCTAATTAAACTTAAGAGCTTCTGCACAGCAAAAGAAACTATCAATAGAGTGACCCGGCAACCAACAGAATGGGAAAAAATTTTTGCAATCTACCCATCTGACAAAGTGCTAATATCCAGAATCTAGAAACAACTTAAACAAATTTATAAGAAAAAAACAAACAACCCAATCAAAATATGGGCAAGGATATAAATAGATACTTATCAAAAGAAGACATTTATGCAGCCAACAAACATATGAAAGAAAGTTCATCACTGGTCGTTAGAGAAAAGCAAATCAAAATCACATTGAGATAGCATTTCATGCCAGTTAGAATGGTGATCATTAAAAATCCAGGAGACAACAGATGCTGGAGAGGATGAGGAGAAATAGGAAAGGTTTTACACTGTTGGTGGGAGTGTAAATTAGTTGAACCATTGTGAAAAACAGTGTGGCAATTCCTCAAGGACCTAGAAATAGAAATACCATTTGACCCAGCAATCCCATTACTGGGTATAAACCCCCGTGGATTCTAAAACATACTATTATAAAGACACATGCACATGTGTTTATTGCAGCAGCATTTACAATAGCAAACACTTGGAACCAACCCAAATGCCCATCAAAGATAGACTGCATAAAGAAAATGTAGCACGTATATACCATGGAATACTATGCAGCTATAAAAAAGGATTAGTTCATGTTCTTTGCGGGAACATGGATTTAGCTGGAAACCATCTTTGTGACAAAACTGACATAAGAACAGGAAACCAACCACCACATATTATAACTCATAAGTAGGAGATTAGCAATGAGAACACACAGATACAGGGAGTGGAACATCACACACCGGTGCCTGTTGGGGGTTAGAGGGAAGGAAAGGGATATGAGGGGGTAGGGGGATTCGGTAGAGATAGCATGAGGAGAAATACCTAACGTAGATGATGGGGTAATGGATGCAGGAAACCACCATGGTATGTGTATACCTATGTAACAAACCTGCACATTCGCACATGTACCCCAGAACTTAAAGTATAATAAACAAATTTTAAAGATTAATAAATAAATGTGTTTCTCTTGTATTTGTTACACTAATCTAAAAAGGAACATTTTGATGATTTTTTTCTTTGCCATAGCTAATAATTGTTCTTATATATAAATAATCAGAAAATAGTAGGAATGTAGCAGAAATACTTGGCAAAAGATAGCAGGGTGAACCAAATGCTGCAGTTCATTGCAAAGTTAGTGCAGCCAAAAGGAATAGAGTTACCTATTTAGAAGCTGAATTACAAGTATTGTTTACAAGCAATGGCAACCAAGCTGAGTTAGTTTAAGCAAAAAAGGTACTGGAGGGATGCTAAAGATTGTTGGCCAATAAAAGCACAAACTGAACAGGGGGTTGAAAACATTAAAATCAAAAAATCTGATTCCTGGTGTTTCCTTAAAAATATGCCAATGATGGCTAATAAGTACCTGAAAAGATGCTCAACATCACTATTCACTGGCAAAGGTAACTCAAAACCACAAAGAAATATGACTTCCCACCCATTTAGATGGTGATGGAGCCCCACCAGGCAAAAAAAAAAAAAAAAAGTGTTGGTAAGAATGTGAAGAAATTGAAATCCTCTTGTATTGCCTGTGAGAATGCAAAATGATGCAGCCACTGTGTAAAACAGTATGACAGTTCCTTAAAAAAAAATTAAACATAGAATTACCTTATGATCCAGCAATTCTATTTCTGGATATATACCCCAAAGAATTAAAAGCAGTGTCTTAAAGAGATATTTGTACAATATTCATAGCAGCATTATTCACAATAGACAAAATGTGGAAACAACCCTAATGTTTATCAACAGATGAATAAACAAAATGTAATATATACTTAGCAATGGAATATTTCTCTGTCATAAAAAGTAATGACACATGCTACAACATTGATGAACCTAAAAGACATTATGCGAACTGAAATAAGCTAGACAAAAAAGGATAAATGCTGCATGACTTTTATGTAGTATTTCACTTGTATGTGGTACTTAGAATAGTTAAATTCAGAGTCAGGAAAAGTAGGATAGTGGTTGCTGGGAGCTGGTGGGAATAGGGATGTATTGTTTCATGGGTAAAGAGTTTCAGTTTGGGAGGATGGAAAAGTTCTGAAGATGAACGGTGATGATTGCACAGCAAACCATATGAATGTGCCTTCTGCCACCACGCTATATATCCAGAAATGGTTAAAATGGTAACGAAGTTTATGTTATGTACCGCACTAACAAAAAAAGAAAGTGAGAACAGAGAAAAGATTACAGGATCTATTCTTTACAGGGTTATCAGCTGCTGCAAGAGCAACGTCAGCAGGGAGGAAAGCCAAGTTCTGAAGGCATGGGATCCAGCAAAGCATGCAGGGAAAGGCAGAATAGTAGACAACACTGTTCGTAAAAAGACCTTGGTTATTGCAAAGGGCCCTGGACTCTGAATTAATCATTTAATTTTAAACTTCTATGCAACCATGTAAATGCATCTTCATGCAAAAAATGTAATATTTGGAAACCAATGTATTAGAAAGGTCATTGGGCTTAGTCTTGAAGGATTGGATATAGCCTCTATGACTCTTCAACCAGTCACAGAACCTGGAGGCTCAATTTGTTTAACTGCAAAATTAAGATAATAATAGTCATGCTGACAAAGAAAATGTAAAGATCAAATAACATAATATATATGAACTTGCTTTGCAAACTAAGAAGTGGTATAAAATATAAGGTACCCAAATTGCAAGGAAAAATGTAAAAAACTGAAAGAGACTTGAGGGAGGAAGTGAAGCAACATGGCCAAATAGAACCCTCGAGCAATCATTGCCTTGCAGGAACACCAAATTGAACAACTATCCACAGATCCACAGGCAGGATGGGGGAAGGAGGCACATTTATAAGAAACAAAAATTAGGTGTGCACAATCACAGTACCAGGTTTTAACATAAATAACAAAGAAAGAAGCTTTGAAGAGGGTAGGAAGGACACTCTTTCATTGCTTATGCCACATCTCCTCCAACCCCAGGCAGGACAGCATGAGGAGAGAATCTGTATGCTTGCAGGAGTGAATCAAGTGTGGTATACACAGTGGACCACTATACTAGGCAGAATTTCACCAGTGCTCAGAGACAGAGCATTAGATCAGCCTGGGGCCAAAGGGGAATCTTCTGCCCCATCTAGAGGAACTTAAGCCCAGGCCAGCTTCACCAGCAACTGTCAGGTAACCTAGAGCCCTAAATAAATTTGAGTGGTAGTCAGGTCAAAAGGACTGCAGTCCTTGGTCGAGCCTGAGTACTGTGCTGTTCTTGGAGGCAGTGAGGTCGAAGTGTGGCCCACTGTAACACCAGCTGTGGCATCCATGGTAGTGCCTGTGTCACCCTCCCACAACTTCAGGAAGTGCAGCATGGAGAAAAATTCCTTTTGCTTGAAGGAAGGAAAAATAGAGGATTTTGTCTTGTAACTTGGGTGACAGCTCAGCCCCTGTATAATAAAACACCAGACAAGTTCCTGAAGCCTCTGATTCCAGGACTTTGCTTCTGAACAGCATCTCTAGATTCAACCCTGGACCACAGGGCATTCTACTGCTCTGGTAGGACAGACCCATTCCCAGCAGAATTCACTACCTGTTGACTGAAGTGGTCTTGGACCGTGAATAAAAATCAGTAGCACCAGACAGTAATGGTAGCAGGTCTTGGGCTGATCCAATTACTGTGCTCATCTTTTAAAAATGATGGATACAAATAAGCACAGTTTGGAATATGCCTATTTCTTCAATGCAAAGTTCTTCAATGCCCAGACATTAGCAAGCATCCACAAGCATCAAGAACATCCCAGAAAACACTGCCTTACCAAATGGACTAAATAAGGCACCAGTGACCAATCTTGGAGTGATAAAGATATATGACCTCTCAAATAAAAACTTCAAAATAGCTATCTTAGGAAGCTCAATTAATTTTAAGATAACACAAAGATAGAATTCAGATTCCTGTCAGAGAAATTTAACAAAGGTTGAAATAATAAATAAAGCAGAAATTCAGAGTTGAAAAATTAAATTGACAAACTAAAAAAATACATCAGGATCTCTCAGCAGACTTGATCAAGCAGAAGAAAGAATAAGTGAGTTTAAAGGCAGGATATATAAAAATACACACAGAAGAAAAAAAATGTAAAAACAAAGTATACCTACAAGATTTATAAAATAGCCCCCAAAGAGCAAAACTAAAGTTATTTGCTTAAAGAGAATGTAAATAACAATATAGGGATACATATTTTATTCAAAAAATAAGAACAGAACTTTTCAAGCCTAAATGACTATCCAAGACAAGAAGCTTAAAGAACAACCAGAAAATAAATAGATAAAGGACACCAGGTTGGAAACAAAGAAGTCAAATTATCCTTGTTTGCAGATTATATGATCTTATATTTAGGAAAATCTAAAGACTCCACCAAAAAACTATTAGAACTGATGAAGAAATTCAGTAGTTTCAGAATACAAGATCAACATACAAAAACCAGCAGCATTTCTATATGTGAAGAGTAAACAATCTGAAAAACAAATCAAAAAAGTAATCCCATTTTAAATGGCCACATAGAAAGTTAAAATCCTAGGATTAACTTAACCGAAGAAGTGAAAAAATCCCTACAATGAAAATTATAAAAAATACTGATAGTGTCTACGTCCATACCACCCTGAACGCGCCCAATCTCGTCTGAGAAAAATACTGACAAAATAGATTGCAAAGGACAAACACATGAAAGAAGGAAAGAAAGAAAAGAAAAGAAAGAAAGGAAAGGAAGGAAAGAAAGGAAACGGAAAGGGAAAGAAAAAAAAGATTATGGATTGGAAGAATCAGTATTGTTAAAATGCCTGTACTACACAAAGCAATCTACAAATTCAATGCAATTACTATCAAAACACCACTACAACTCACCAGAATGACTTTCTTTACAAAACAGAAAAACAAAATTCTAAAAAGTCTATGGAACCACAAAAAACCTACAATAGCCACAGCTATCTTGAGCTAAAAGAACAAAATGAGAAAAATAACATTATCTAACTTCAAAATATACTACAGAGGTATTGTAACCAAAACAGCATGGTATTGGCATAAAAACAATGACATAGACCAATGGAACAGAATAGAGAAGGCCAAAACAAATTCGCACACCTGCAGTAAACTCATTTTTGACAAAGGTGTAAAGAACATACACTAAAGAAAAGATAGTCTCAACAAATGTTGCTGGAAAAACTGGATATCCATATGCAGAAGAATAAAACTAGACCCCTATCTCTCACCATACACAAAAATCAAATCAAAATAGATTACATACTTAAAACTAAGACCTCAAAACTATATAGCTACCAAAAGAAAATATTGGAGAAATTCTCCAAAACATTGGACTGAGCAAAAAATTTTCTTGAGTAATATACCCCACAAGCATAAGCAACCAAAGCAAAAACAGACAAATAGGAAAGGATACAGTCAACAAAGTAAAGAGGCAACCCACAGAATAGGAGAAAATATCTGCAAACTATCCATCTGATAAGGGATTAATAACCAGAATATATAAGGAGCCCAGAAAACTCTGTAGGAACATGTCTAATAATCCAATCAAAAAGGGGCCAAAGATTTCACTAGACATATCACAAAATAAGATATACAAATGGCAAACAGGCATATGATCAACATCAATGATCATCAGAAACACAAATCAAAATCACAATCAGACACTGTCTCACCCTAGCTAAAATGGCTTACATCCAAAAGACAAGCAATAAAAAATGCTGGTGAGGATGTGGGAAAAGTCAACCTTGTACATAATTGGTGGGAATGTAAATTAGTAAAATCATATGGAGAACAATTTGGAGATTCCTCAGAAAATTAAAAATTATCTATCATATGGTCTAGCAATCCCACTGCTGCATATATAGCCAGAAGAGAGAAATTAGTATGTGGAAGAGATATCTGCACTTCTATGTTTATTGTAGCACTGCTCATAATAGCCAAGATTTGGAAGCAACCTAAGTGTTCGTCAACAGATGAATAAAGAAAATGTGATATTTGCACAAAACAGAGTACCATTCAGCCATAAAAAAACAAATGAGTTTCTGTAATTTGCAACAACATAGATAAAATTGGAAATCATTTATGTAACATGAAATAAGGCAGACACCAGAAGACAAATATTGCATGTTTTTATTTATTTTGGGTATCTGAAAATTAAAACAGTTTAACTCATTGACATCAAGAGTAGAATGATGATTACTGGAGGCTGGGAATGATAACGGGGAATGGAGGAATTAGGGATGGTTACTGGATACAAATAAAAAATAAAAAAACAGAAATAATGTATTGGACCTAGTGTTTGATAACAACAGAGTGACTATAATCAGTAATTTAATTGCACATTTTCAAATAACTAAAAGAATACAATTGGATTGTTTGTAACATAAAGGATAAATGTTTGAGAGGATAGATACCCCATTTTCCATGATGTGATTATTATGCATTGCATTCGTTTATCAAAACATTTCATGTAACTCAAATGTACACACCTGCTATGTACCCAAAAACTTAAAAAATTTTTTAAATGAAAACAAAAACCAAAACTATATCATGATCTCAATAGATGTAAAGAAGTATATGATATGGAACAAAGTCAACAAAAGCAAGTAATAAGAAAATTATTCAATAGATACTGAGATTCAATAAGTGCTGACATAGCTGGCTAACCATATGCAGAATAACGGAACTGGACCCGTCCCCTTCACTATATACAAAAATAACTCAAGACAGATCTTATATGTACCACTAGACTATACCACTCCTAGACTCCTAAAAGAAAACCTAGGAAACACCATTCTGGATACTGGCCTTGGGAAGGAATTTATGACTAAGTCCTGTATTAGTCTGTTCTCATACTGCCAATAAAAACATACAAAAGACTGAGTAATTTATAAAGGAAAGAGGTTTAATTGACTCACAGTTCCACATGGCTGGGGCAGCCTCACAAACATGACTGAAGGCAAATGAGGATATCTTACATGGCAGCAGGCAAGACAGCATGTGTAGGGTAACTGCCCTTTCTAAAACCATCAGATCTCATGACACTTATTCACTACCATGAGAAAGACAAGGAAAACCCTGACCCCATGATTCAATTACCTCCCATTTGGTACCTCCCATGACATTTAGGAATAATGGAAACTACAATTTAAGATGAAATTTGGGTAGAGATACAACCAAAACACATCAGTCCTCAAAAGCAAATGCAACAAAAACAAATATTGACAAGTGAGACCTAACTAAACTAAAGAGCTTTTGCACAGCAAAAGAAATTTTCAAGAGAGTAACCAGGGAACCTACAGAATAGGAGAAAATATTCAGAAACTATGCATATGACAGAAGGGTAATATCCAGAATCTCTAGGGAGCTTAAACAATGCAACAAATACAAAAATACATTAAAAAATGGGCAAAAGAAATGAACAGACACTTCTCAAAAGAAAGCATACAAGCAGCCAATAAACATATGAAAAAAATGGTTTACATAACTAATCATCAGAGAAATGTAAATCAAAACCACAATGTGGAACCATCTCATACCAGTCAGAATAGCTATTATTAAAAAGTTAAAAAAAAAAAAAAAAAGATGCTGGTGAAGCTGCAAAGTAAAGGAAACACTTTTATACTGTGAGAATGTAAATTAGTTCAGCCTCTGTGGAAAGCAGTTGGGAGATTTCTTAAAGAACTTAAAACATTACTACCATTTTACCAAGCAATCTCATTATTAGGTATATATCTGAAGAAAAATAAATCATTCTACCAAAAAGACATATATACCCATATATTCATCACACCACTATTCCCAATACCAAAGACAGAACCAGCTCAGGTGCCCATCAACAGTGCATAAAGAATGTGGCACATATATACCATGGAATATTATGCAACCATAAAAAATAATAAAATCATGTTTTTGCAGCAACATGAAAGCAGCTGGAGGCCTTTATCCTAAGCAAATTAACACTGAAAAGAAAAAAAATACTGCATCACCTTACTTTTAAGTGGGAGCTAAATATGAGGTATTCATGGATATAAAGATAGCAACAATAGACACTTACTACAAGGGGGATTGGGAGGAAGGAAGCTAGGGTTGAAAAACTTACTGTTGGATACTATGCTCACTACTTGGGTTGTAGGTTCAATCACACTCAAAACCCCAGCATCATACAACATATCCATATGCCTCCTGAATCTAAAATAAAAGTTAAATTTATAAAAAGAAATCCACCAACTGTAGTTTTTTCAAGCAAACACTATTCCAAATTCTTAACTTTTTGTTTAACTTTTTCTTAACTTTAAGGTAGTAATTTTAAGAATTTTTGTGGTATAAAAACATTTACCTGAAGTTCAGCAATTCCTTCCAGATTACCTAGTTTCTTTATTCTTTAAAATTAAACTTACTTTTATATAAAAATAATTTGGAGAATAAAATTTCATCATTCTGGCTGGGATAAGGTAATATCTCTGTGGCTTTAATTTGCACTTCCTTAATGATTAGTCATGCTGAGCATTTTTTCACATATCTGTTGGACATTTGTATATCTTCTTTGAGAAATACCTGTTTATGTCATTTGACTACTTTTTAATGAGACTTGTTTTTTTCTTGCTGATTTGAGTTTCTTGTAGATTCTGGATATAATCCATTTTCAGATGCATAATTTGCAAGTATTTTCCCCCATTCCATAGGTTGTCTGTTTACTCTGATGATTGTTTCTTTTACTGTGCAAATACCTTTTAGTTAATTAAGTCCTATTTATTTTTGCTTTTGTGTATTTGTTTTTGAGGTACTTGTCATAAATTATTTGCGTAGGACAATGTCCTCAAGAACTTTCCCTGGGTTTTCTTTCAGAATTTTTATGGTTTCAGGTCTTAGTTTTAAACCCTGTAATCCATCTTAGATTAGCCTTTGTATATGAAGAGAAAAATGGATTGTTTGATTTTCTACATGTGACCATCCAGTTTTCCCAGAACCACTTATTGAATAGGTGATCCTTTCCCCAATGTATGTTTTTATATGTTTAGTTGGCTGTAAGTTTTGGCTTTATTTCATTAGTATATGTATCTACTATTATACGGTACCATGCTATTCTGTTTACTATAGCTTTGTGGTATAATTTGAAGTCAGGTAATGTGATGTCTCCAGATTTGTTCTTTTTTGTGAGAGTTGCTATGGTTATTCAGGCTCTTTTTTAGTTCCATATGTATTTTATAATTGTTTTTTTCTAATACTGTGAAGAATGACATTAATATTTTGATAGGAATTATATTGAATGTGTAGATTGCTTTGAGCAGGATGCTTATTTTCATATTGATTCTTCTAACTTATGAACATGGAAAATTTATTTCATCAGTGTTTTATAGTTCTTGTAGAGATCTTTCACCTCTTTGGTTAAGAATAATCTTAAGTATATTATTTTATAGCTATTGTAAAAGGGTTTGAGTTCTTGATTTGATTCTCAGTTTGGCCATTGTTGGTGTTTAGCAGTGCTACTGAATTCCACATATTGATTTTGTAACTTGAACCTTTACTAAATTCTAGGAATTCAGTAAGTCTAGAAAACTAGAACTCTTTTGGAAGAATCTTTAGGGTTTTCTCTTAGAGCATTTACCTTAGAAAACTATTAATTTTAAGTTTATTAAAATTAAAACTATTAATTTTAATCTTCTCTTTGGAATGTATTTAAATTGGCATTTAGTCAGTTTTATGAGCCATGACGTTCTTTCTCAAGGAATGGGAGCCATCTCTGTGAAATATAAATATCAAAAAGAATAGGCCCCATTTCCCAGTTTCTGTGGGAGAATAGGAATTAACTTCAACAGATACCTTGCCACAAGTGGCAAAACTAACACTTGGCATAAAAATAAGAGAAGCTTTTTTTTTCCTTTAAATAAAGCCAATTATCTAAGACAGATGGTCATGCTAATTACTAGGTGAATTTAAAACAGTGTGACAATGCAATCAAGTCCTCTTAGAAATTAGTTTATCATGAGAACATATATGGAATGTATAGAATCAATTATAGTTTGGTTATAGAATGGTTATAGTTTGGTTAAAGGTGCCATTTCTTTCTGTCTTTATAATATCCTAACAGATTGCCTGTGATATGCATCACGTGCTGGTTTAATGCTTATTCAATAATTTTTTTTTTCTATACTACCTTTATGGAGAGGTTTTCTGATATGGGAAAAGATTTTGTTTTTAATTTTATTTCTCCAACTTTTTTTTTTAATCTGCTGGTAACAACCTAGTGCTCAGTCTCAGACTTGACCTCTAGAGTAGAAATTTTAATAGTAGAATCTAATTGTTGACCTGAATGAAATCAGCTATCTCCCCCACCCTTACCCTATGTCCCTATGCAAGAAAATGGGTTGGGGAGGGATGCAGGGTCAAGTAATGCGAATATAACTAGGAAACAGGGAGGGACAGTTCTCAAAGAAGGCAGGCTGTTCATGCCCCCACCCCCACCCCTACCCCTTCAAAGTACAAAAGGCAACTTTCAACAGATAGGTAGACAACTGGGATTTTTCACATTTCTACATTGTTCTATTTAAATTTGATTACATTGACTAAATATATGGACGTCAATTCACATTTCAGTGACACTGAATTACTGAAATTATCTGAACCATCTCCATGAATCTCTCATGTCCCTGGATACTTGGGGTGATATCCTGAAAAAAAATTATTTCATTTTCCTCATAAATACGGACGTTTAAAAGATTGTGATGTTACAAATGCTACTGTATTTTTCTAACCTCTTTATTTTTTGTCCTCAAAAATATTAAGTAAAATGGATACATTTCCTTCGTGCTTTTAAGTCATTAGCAAAACAAAATACTCTCTGAAGAATGGAAATGTAGTTTTCCTACTTCTTTCCCTCAGCCATGAAAGACAAGCAGATGGTCTCTTATCAGTGTAAACAGCTATCAGAATGGCAATGGTGGCCAGATGTGAGAATAAACTTAGAAATGAAAGAACAGAAATAAATGAATGAATGAAAAAAGCTGAAACATCTGCTTTTGAATTAACAAAAGGAATGCAGCAGTTAAGATCTAACAATTGAAAATCTGTGTTTGGCAAATAGTGTAAGTATATAAACCACTTAAAAGCAGTTCATAAACACATTGTTTTCCCAGGTATTTCATACTGACCCAATTGTCTCAGAAACAAAACACTTTATTGGATGAGGCAAGTCAGTTAGGAACCATTCAGCCATGTCTTTATCATGGATTCTGCGGTTGAGGTCTCTAGAGATAACTGTCAAGTTTGGCAAAAAGTTAAGTGAAACTGTAACCAGAGAATGGAGCAAGCAGACGCTTAGGTCGCTCTCTGTCCATTGCCAAAGATGTAACCGGGGACGGGAGCAGAGCTAAAGGGTCGTCCCAAAGATGCTCCTAGTTTCCCCGATTAGATGTGCCCAGGTCCTTGGCCTGTCTTGCCCCAGGAATGGGGGAAGAGGCCCTGGAGGTGCGGTGAGCTTACCATTGGAATGAATATTGTGGACCCAAAGAGTTTTGCAGAGAGCAATTTATTAGGCAGAGAGAGAAAAAGAGAGAGAAGAGAGAGCTTCTACACTGCCATGGGAGAGGATCCAAGGGAGAAATCAGCACAGGTAAGGGGCAGTGGGATTTTAACCTAGGAGTTATTCCCACCCCATTCATGCTGCTACTTTATAAACCAATCAGGTGTTGTCTTAAACAAAGTTAAAGAACTCCGGGACCGAATAACCTTCAAGAAATTGGATCATGAAGCTTATTTAACCACTGGCTGTCCTGGCCCTACCCTCTCCTAGGCCCATTTATAAACATTCTATTATTGCTGGCCCTCTGGCTGCTCATCTTTAACCTCCTTGTCACATTTGTTTCTTCTACAATTAAAGCCATAAGGTCACAAATGATCCTGCAAATGGAATCTCAGGTGTCCTTGACCCATGAGTTTTATCGTGGACCTCTGCATCAACCTGCACCGCTGGAATACTGCCCTCTGGAGGAAACCTCAAGCGCACGGCCCCTTCTACTCCCCGATTCAGCAGGAAGTAGCTAAAGAGCAGTAGATGCCAATGTCCCTACAGTAGTTGGACTTTCCTGTTCAGAGGAGGGACTGAGGGACTGTGTTAGAAAAACCAAGTCCACAAAGGGTGTGATTTCAAAGGCAGGAACTTCCCAGCACCATGCCTCCATCCACATCCTCAACAGGAAACCTAGAGTTCTTTGTCTGACTTTCCCGTTAGTGGGCTAGGTAGAAATTCCAGGTGAAATCCATTGTTTAGAAGGTCCACAAAAAGCTCTGGGAGGAGGGGGCTCTAGTTGCTGACCAAGCAGCCAATCCAGTATCAGAGTTGAAAATCAGTCACTCCAGCAGAAGTTTGGAAGAGCTCCTTTCATTGAATGAGAACATGAATGGGGTGGGAATAACTCTCAGGTTAAAATCCTACTGCCCCTTACCTGTGCTGATTTCTCCCTTGAATCCTCTCTCATGGCAGTGTAGAAGCTCTCTCTTCTCTCTCTCTCTTCTTCTGTCTCTGCCTAATAAACTGGTCTCTGCAAAACTATTTGGGTCCACGATATTCATTCTAATGATAAGCTCACCGCACCTCCAGGGGTCCTTCTCCCATTTCTGGGGCAAGAGAGACCAAGGACCTGGGCACAGTGGATCAGGGAAACTAGGAGCACCTTTGGGATGCCCCTGCAGCTCTGCTCCCATCCCCCAGTTACAGCTTTGGCAATTGCCGGGGAGGGAGCTGAGCTCCTGCATTCTGTCCTCCGTTACATCTTTGGTTATCAACGGGGAGGGATCTGAGACTCTGCTTGCTGAACTCCGGTTAAATCTAAAGTACAAAAGGAATAAAATTTGTAAAACATTATTCTCTCAAATTCAAAAGTAAAAATAAAATATGACAAAGTATAGGAGAAGAAAAAACATTCAGATAGTTATATTTTGGCAGTCTTTATACAGGTAATAGT